CCTGCTCAGTTGGCTAGTCTCAATGAGATTGGCCGCCGTGGCCGGAATCGGTCAGGAGAACATCATCATCATCCCGTGGGAAAAGATTTGCCTGGAGTAAAAGGTGCACTAAATGTTAACCCGGGTAATAAGTTCTCATTACACATTTAGTTAAATTCGGTTCAGTACTTTTTGCGTGAAACGTGCTCACCCAAACAGACAAATAGACAAAAAATTTAATAACTATTGGTTTGGGGTCTATATTCTGAACACAATACGTTACAGACATTATTTTTAAAAATAACTTATGTACAGATTTCGCAATGTTTCTGTTTTATTATATGTATAGATTTCAAGTTGATATGTTAATTGTTTATTTGTCATAATATTGCGTTTGGCTTACATTATAAAACTATGAATAACTAAGAGAAGAATAGAATAGTTTTAGAGAGTTAATAGAAACAAACCTTTAATAATATGGATACAAAACCATTTTACACTTTTTATTTATTGCAATTATGTAGAACGGTATATAATATTTGGTAATGTTTGCATTATGTATTAATTAAATATTCGAACGCACTGGTGCGTACCTACTTATGCATATTCAGGCAATTGTACTTCGTCCATCCAAGTATTCGCCTGCGATTGGGTCACCTGACTCTAAACATGTGTCGAGTAAAATCGGAAAAAATAGCAGGTGTCAGACAGACAAATATACACAGACAGAAGTAATAACATAGTAATAATAAGACTAGGCTGTTAATTGAATGTCTAATTAAGCTAGTTGGCTGCGACATATATTTTGTCTTAGAAAGGTAGGAGTCCTTTTGCGATTACTATCTTTCTAAGAGGATAGGTCTTTTGAAAAAAAAAACAATAAAAAACAACAATATGTAGCTGGTTGAAATGTTAATAAAAATTTGTGTTTACGGATTTCCAAATAAAATACATATAAAAAAGTAAAAAAATACGAGGAACCATCAGGTACAGCGTGTTTTTATTATATAATTTTTCGTGCCTGCTCTATAGTTAAAATGCGTATATTGAATCAGTAATCACAAGTAGCTACTAAACTTAATATGATAATCTACATATAGATATGATAAAATAGTAACTTAGCGAAATCTGTACATGAAATATTTTTTAAAAATAATGACTGTAACGTATTGTGTACAGAATATAGATTGAAATATTTTGAAAATATCTATGAAAATAGTGGAGGGCTCGAAAAGATATGTTTTCAAAATAATTTAAAAAGAAATCCAGCAGAAGAAAACTGGAAATAAAAATTGTATTTAATTGTAATATGGGATCTGATAGTTTATTTAAAAAAAAAACTTTTAGATTATTAGAGCGTACATACCTATATCGGCAAATTATAATCGCCCATTAACTCGAAATATTTATATACTTAGGAAAAAAAATTAAGTATCGCGAATTTATCAGCATTCCTATTGACAATGTAGTAATTAGAAAAAAAACATTGAATATTGTTCTATATTCTAGTTTCTATAGTTTAATTCTAGTTTTTACACCAAAACTAGTATTTCAAAAGGGCATGTCTGAAGCATGCTTAACACTTCCTAAGACAGTTGTCAACATAAGACAATTAATGACAAGAACTGCAGTTGCCGTGAGTGAGAGAGGAACAAAACAATTTCCAGAAAGGAATTGAGATGACTAGAAAATATACGAAATTTCGAATGTCCTTTGTTTATGCATATAAAAAGGGCGACAGTGTATTCAGAGTGCAGTTGAATTTCTATCTAAGAAAAGACTATGAAGAAATACGAAAAATGCAAAAGCGAGGAAGTGGAGTAAAGCAATATTGCAAGTGAAAATAGTTCTAGAGACTGAGCTAAGACACTGTGTATTGTGTGTGTTCGTGAATCGCCAAAAGTGAGTCTTATGAACCATAAACAATAAAACATCTATAGTGCAAAACACGTAGGTACTTTAATTTCCGATCTTATACTCATGGAACGGTACAACATGTTATATAAAAAACCAGTACCTACCTAATCTTGATTGATATGCATGAGTTAAAGTTGCGCATGATTCGAAAAGCTCCAATACATTAACCGTGGCTTATAAAAACTAAGTATACATAAAAAAATAACAATTTTAAGACAAATTACTAATAATACGTATTATTTTTTCAATTATTTTGTCGTATTATTTATAAAATTGCAAAATAATAATATAAGGGTCATGGTCATTTTGACAGTCTTACAAAGTTAATTGTATGTATGCGTCCTTTTAATTAGTGACTATTAATTAAAAAATTTTTTTATGCTAACTACGCGTGTAATTTTGAACGAGTTTCAATGGTAATTTAATTATAATGTAGATAAGTAGCAGTCTTTCAACCAATTACATAAACAATGCTTGCCTTGCTTGCGCTTTCACCTAAATAAATTCGTAATGTTCTAATTGTAGCTGTCAAATATCATTGGATATGTTACATAAAAACCATGCAAAGGTACCAAAAAGTATATGAAATGTGATGTTGCTTAATATCCCAAACTTCAATCAAAACACACCTAGGCATTTCTAAATACTAAAGGTAGGCATAAAAAAGAAATAGGTATGTAGAATTTAAATATTTTGATAAAAAAATTAACCACTAAAAATATTTTTAGAATAAACTTTATTATGGTAGTTTTTATGAATATTTATAAATATTTGAATTAATTTGAATACCTTTTGTAAATGTTTACTAACAAAAACTTTTGCTTACGTTTCCATTTTAATTCATGATATGTAAGCATTGAACAACGTGAATTATCAAAGTTACGAATTATGAAATTTAGAATTTGTACTTGTTTTTCAGTTATATTTAGTGTTTTCATTAAATATTATTTCTCCAATTAATAAACCCTTTTGTATTCATTCTGTTTTTTTGAATTAAGAATGTTACCCAACTCTATTTACTTGTTCTTTGACTCTTTTTTAAATATGTATGAAAGAATTACTAATAGGTACGAATTGGCTATAAAGAAAGAATGTCATGAATTTTTCAATTTAATATAATCTTAAATCCTATAGGAGTAATTTTTGGATACCACATCCGAAACTGGACAAGTGTTTCTTCAATACCCCAGTAAGTATATATTTCCGCAAAAGTTTTAAGTAAGTAGGAATCTCGCAGATCCTTAAGAGCTATAGTGGCTCTATAATTAATTTTGTCAGAATAAAATACAAACACACTGTAATCTCTGTCAAATATTTTATATTTTATCAACTACGAGGGATTTCCAATTTAAACATACAATAACATTCGAAGATTTACCCTCGAATGTTGTTGTAAGTTTACCTATACCTAGTTTATTTCTGCGTGTCTATGATTACTTGTTGAACCAAAAAAAACAAAAATCTTTAAAAAATACATACATATTATAAATATAAACATCCATGACTGGAGTACAAATTTTCATGCTCACTACACAAATAAATGCCCCAGCTGGACTCGAACCCGCGACCGTTGGCGCAGCGAGTACATCTATAAACTGAGCCTTTGTCGTCAGTTATTATTATTTTTTTAGGAGGTCTGGAAATTATTTTGTTTCTCAATTATTTTAGTGTATACTAATACAACCTGTGATCATCCAAATGATTGTGACCTAGAACCTAATTTCTTTAAAATGATAATATAGATAAATCGTATTTAAGCTTATTCAATTCATTGTTGTTAGTTGTTGTTGTTCGTTGTGTGTGATTACCAGATAATACGACGAAAATATTTCAGATACTAAAAATTAGTATTTTATTTATTTTGTCTTTATTAATTTTGTCTTAAATATTTATTTGATACCATATTTATGTAAAATAAATAACAACAATACGGTGCGCAAAGACTCTCTTTTGCTGTAATTTATTTTTCTAACAAAAAGAATACAAGAACAGTATTTATATGAGTCCATAAATCGCCAATACTTGCTGTTAGTGAAGGTAGTAATTTATGAAGAATATACAGTTTTATGAAAGAACAGATTACCTCTGTATTTTGTTTAGTAATATTATAATTTATATATAGAATGTAACTAAATCATTAACTTTGGACAGGACATCAGCTAGCTGAATCGACAAATGTCCTGTCCAAATTTCAATAAATTTTGTAATCTTTGAAGTCATACATAAACTTATAAGCGCTTTCAGGTTTTACAAAATTTTCAACTTTTACCCTTTAACAACTTTTTTCGAACTATTACTAACAACTTTTAAAAGAAATTAGCCATATTCGTCCCGCCGTTAACAAGTAATGTGGTTAACAACGGCCAGCGTTTCATTTTTAGGGTTAGGTACCCGAAGGGTGCCAACGGAACCTTATTACTAAACCTCCGCTGTCCGTCCGCCCGTCTGTCAGAGGGCTGTATCTCATGAACCGTAATAGGTAGAGAGTTGTAATTTTAACAGGGTGTGTATATATTGCCGCTATAACAAGAAACAATAAAAACCCAAGTTAGCGAATTTGCAAAAATGCAAATTAAAAAAATCTATAATGTTAAATAGCCCTTCTTGTACGAGTCCGACTCGAACTTGACCGATTTTTATGTATATATGTAGATTACAACCATTTTTAAATTTGTTTTAGAAAAAATAACTTACAAGATTTTTAGTCGTTCCGCTTCTAATATATTAAAACTATTTATATTTATATAACACAAAATAATTTATTACATAAAAAATATAGTATAAATATAATATAGCGTTGTGAAAAAAATAAAACTACACGAATGATAAATAACGAAAATGGTGCTATTTTGAAAAAATATCGCATAAAAATTATAAATAAAATAATAATACTTTAACAATCACGCACACGTTTACTAACATAAACAAGACGTAAATAGGTATATTATTTTGTAAATATTACAGATATAATTGAAAAATTATTAGTAACTTCATCTAATAATATAATTTTTATTAATATTTCAATAATAATATAAGTAATAATTATAGAAAAAAAAATATTTAATTAATACAAATTTAATTCAAATAATTAGTATAATACTCACTGTCAAAATTATCAAAATTTAAATATTGACTCGTACAAATCTGCGTGCAGTAAATCACACAGAACACACAGGCGAAAAGTCGTATGCAACGGAATAGCATCTTGCCAATACTAATATGAGTCAAGAAAAGGACCGGTCGACGGCACCACTATTATACTCACTGACCTTTGCTTTTGCAAAAAGAAAAAAACCAATTGTGTTGCCAGAGTGGGTGGAATATCAGTGTTGTTTTTTTATTAAATAAGTTTTTTAATAGAAATTAAACTAATTAGACATATTTATTATTTTTATTGTTTTATAATTTAAGTTGTATATTTTTACATATAAAAGGTAATTAATGACGGAATGAAATATCAATCAAGTGCTAGTCAGACTCGCTCACGAAGGGTTCTGTACCATAATCGATTTTTTTACATGGCAGACTTTGAAATTTGCCATCTTGGTTTTTTATTATTTGTTTTATTAGCGGCAATAGAAATATACACTCTGTGAAAATTTAAACTCTCTACCTATTACGGTTCTTGAGATACAATCCCATGACAGACGGACGGACGGATGGACAGACGGACGAACGGATAGCGGAGGCTTAGTAATAGGGTTCCGTTGGCACCTTTTGGTTACGGAACCCTAAAAGAGGTTAAAATCTAATAAACTGATAATATCAAGTTGGATTTTATTTATTCTGATATGAATTATTACTTTATTCTACTAACATAAATAAAATGCCTATTCACCACCAGAAACTAATATTTACATCAGACTATCAATATTTATTATAAAATATATAAATCTTATATAATAGAATAACTAATCTGTTTTTTGTATAGTAATACTATACATTTTCCCACATAATACTTATTTATTTAAAATATTTTCCCATAGATCATTTACTTACATTAAAAGAAATTATGTTTACAAAATTTTGATCTTGTTGAAATGGTTCTAATTTATAGTACTTCCTACATATATATGCTTAACGTACGAAAATAATAAAATCATGGTATCTGCGCAACATATTTTACCATCCCATTAATGTAACATTTATCTCAAAATATATCTTAATAAGATATATTTGATACACGTTTCGTCTATTTTGACTCTGAGGTTTCATTGACTCATTAATGTCGCTTCTATGACTGTAAAGTTTAAATAAGCTTAATTTAGTATAAATACAAACAACCCCAAATATTATATGTGATGTTTTAGTATCTAGTATTAATTAAAATATAAAATACATTTTCTTTAGTTATTTTAAGGCAACACGTTTGAAGGCGGTATTCATATTAAATTGCATAGGTATACGAGTATTTAGCCATCGCTCGCGTTATGTGACATATATACATTTATTTATTTTACAGGGAAAACATAGAAACGGATTCGTGTCTACGATTACAATGCTATAATAATAACCGGTGGTGATATATTTTATTTATCTATCTGTTATTGCCATATAATATTATGTAAAAATACTTAAAAAAAGTTTATTAAAAAATGAATTATAAATAATACATTATCTCTATTTGTTCTATATCTAAACTTGCCTTACCCGTATACGTAAACGTAATGTGTTTCCGTGACCTTCAAAACTCCTTAGCTTATGGAAATAATAAAAAAACCATCATTTACCAAATATTCGTTTACGTCTTACTTCAATATGTTGATAAACAATAGCCGATGTATTAATCTAGAATATATTCTACACATAGCCGTTACGATCTGAAGAAGTAATTAACATACACATTCACTCACAAACTTTCGCATTTATGACATTAGTGTAATACGTTATAACGGAGAGTTCCGTCGCGGTATAGAAAAGAAGTCATAACAGCATTCAATGAATAAATTATACCTAGGAGTAATAAATATTAAAAATAAATATTACATATTTATTGCACAATCTTCATGAATTTCATTAGCTCGCTCGAGCGATCCCTGAAAACCGGCTGTGTAATCAGCATTGCTTAAGTTAGGCGTGGTTGTACGATTCCCTAATATCGATGAGTAATTACCGTGATATAAATAACGTTGAACTCGCGAATTATTCGAGCCTCTCATTATTTTTTATGGGGCTGTATCGTTCATTGACATTATAATACTCTGTTATTACGAAGAATAATTATTCTTGCGGTTTGTGAATAAATGTGCAAATCAATATAAACAATCTTACCTAATGTATCTAATCTAACTATAAAAATAAATGTAATATTACCAACATTTTACGGGTGTAGGTATAAGAAATTTTTGGGAATCTGTGACTCCTTTGTAAAATAAAATGTCCCCATCAAAGGTATTTGAAACTCCATAACTTATAGGAAAAATCATCGGCGTTCCCCCATTGAAAATCATTCACTGTGATGGAAGAAACGACTGCATGATGCAAAAAAACTGTCATTTATCGGAAGTCTTCAAATTGCAAAATCACCAAAAGTAGCGTCATAACTCGTAACAATAAAAAAACTACGAAATTAAAACGAATTATATTGATACGATTACGATTATATGTAATACTAGCACTGCCCGCGGCTCCGCCCGCATTCAGATGACCAAAAACCAAACTCTTAGGTTTCACATATTAGTATACTCTTACATTGCAGTTTTTGTATTTTTTCTCAGAAATAAGACATTTTCCCGCTGTAAAAAGTATCCTATATGTTGACCCAGATAACCAGCTATTACCATACCAAATTTCATCAAAATCCCTCGAGTGCTTTTTCTGTGATGCGGTAACAGACAGACAGACAAAAATTCTAAAAACTATAGATTCGGCCTATGTATCGATAATAATGTTTATTTCAATAACATTTTCCAAAAAATATTTAATGTACAGATTCGGCTTAGTTACAATTTTATTATATGTATAGATGAGCTCAGTATAAGAATGCGTCTAGCTAGACAGGGAAATCGCGTGGGGAGTGAGATGCGAGCACGGTTGACGGTGACGCTCCCGACTGTCATACATGTCATACGACTGTCATACAGTCGGGAGATGGCTTTAGACTTGATGGATTTTATAAACAATACAATATAATATATTATGTCAAGTTTTCCTTCAAATAATTTCCTAACTATCGGGTTACTGGGTATTTTTTCTTCTTAGCGTCAAAACGGCTTTGCATGAAATTGAGTACACAGATAGATTATGACCTGGAATACATATCCAATGTCAGGCACCTAGGAGCGCAACCGAGTAAAGCGATGGGAAATAGCAATTTCCCCATTAACTAGCAACTAGGTATATCATATGCAAAAAACACGATAATGTAGAAATCTCCGTTGCTGACGCAAACATGGACCAACATTTTCGCATTAATAATTTTAAATTATTTTGTATTGGATGTCCGGTATTGACACAATTCCAAAAATAATTGTTGTACGCTTGATTATATCTTTACTTAATATAATATTTTTTTTTATAAAAATTTGCCAATGTTACCAATATATTAGCTTATTCATTTATACTATTACATACATTGGCTATAAATTATTCATCATGTGCTATAGATACAGTAACACGTTGTAATTTTAACAGTTAATTCATGCATGAAGCGCAAATGGAATCTCTAAAAAATCAATCAAGTATGAGTCGCACCGAGGGATCTATATTTACTGTAATAGAATATGTCTGTTTTTAACGTATTTTTTATTAAAACAAAGCGTTACTTGATGTAATAATTGTATTCAGCTCTTTTAATTATCCCTGGGCTTCCCTTCATATGAAGGGGATCAGGCCATAGTCTACCACGCTGGCACATGTCTTTCTAAAACGTGTTAGGCTTTCTCAGACATGCAGGTTTCCTTCCGATATTTTCCTTCACCTATAATAATATTCCTTCACAAGTGGTAATCATGTTGGAAATAGTTCGCTTATGAAAATATCAGATTTGCGAGACCGGGATTTGAACCCGCTTCACGCGTTCTCTCAAGCGAGTGCATTACCATTCGGGCAGCACTGTCTATTTAATGATAATCTTAATTAATCATTTATTTTGTGTAATCAAAAAACCGATAAAACAGAGAATAATACACGTCCAAGTAGTGATTCGGTACACTAGTTCCACGTGGAATTTAACATTAACTTTTTTTGAAAAATATAGTAATAATTCTAAGGATAATATACTGAAAAAATATATTTATTTCTTTAAAAAGTTGTTCTTTTTAAAATCTTGCACTTATAATTTAAACGAAGTTATCAAAGTTAGATATCTGGACAAAATTAATCTTTAGGATACAACCAAAAATTTTGTTAATTTTCATAATTGAATAGTTTGAACCATAAAAATCAATTTTAAAGAGGAACTAGTAGCTTTTTTAATTTTTTGCCTAATAAATAAAAAATAAGTAATTGAATAACTTAGCTTGAAAATTGTCCATATCATTAATTAATTATACTATTATAATCTTTACATATTTGACTTTTGAGTCCAACGTAACGTATGTTAAAGTTGTATTCTTTTATTCTCTCTAAAATTATTTTTTCTTCAATGAGAAAATTATATTAAATACTAAATTCTTTCATATTTAATTAAAGAGTTTACAGCAGTTTTGAAGTTGAATTTGTCGAAAATTGTGGATCAGTCTTGTTGCCTGTTAAAAATTATTGCGAGTATATAAAAGTTTACAACTTATTAATTGGAATATAATAAAATATTACGTTATCAATGTTATTATATTTGACCTATACAAAAATATAAAAGGCGAATGGAAGTCCATGCTTAGCATGTTTATTGATAATAACGTGGATTTTAAAGTAGGCAAGTGAACTTCAAGGTAAGTATATTTTGTAATAAGTTTAAGTATAACAATGCATTCATAGAATACTCCTTTCTATTACCGATGCAATACTAAAATAATGATCCTACATATTGTGACTTATTAGAGAAGTTTTCTAGTTTTCGTATATAAAGTTTATATGCGCTGTACGATTATATTATGTGTATTAAAATTTGTATATTTACATAGTATAAAATGAAGTCGCTTCCGCTGTCTGTTCGCTTAAACCTTTTAAACTACTCAACGGATTTTAATACAGTTTTCAGCAATAGATATTAAGTGATTCATGAGGAAGATTTATATGTATAATACTTGCATATTATAGTACAG